ATAAATAAACCTGCCCTCTCTCCCCACGGGGACTCAAGGCGGCTTCCAAAGTAAAAATAGCAAACATTCAATGTCAGTGCAATAACATAATAAACAGTTAAGCAAACCATTAACAGTAAACCCATTAAACATCATTGGCTAAAACATGTGAACCACCATGACTGACTACATTCCTGTTCAGTATAAAATGACAAAGTTGTAGAAGTGAAACAGCAAGAAGGTATTGGGCACCATGCTTTTCTATTTTTATTTTACTGTTATTCCACACAACATACATGACACCTTTTTCATTAAGATGTTTCCATAATTCTATTGTTCCTTATCAGATTGATATCCTGTTTTTGTTTCAAAAATTGCAAGGTAGCTAACAGTAACAAAAATGTTATTTTTTTGCTATACTACTTTAAAGAACTGTTTCAATTGCCCATTAATCCTTTTAGCTACAGATCTTAAATTATTTTAACATTATGATTTCTTTAAAAAAAATGGTGTGATGCAGGAACCCATTCCTACTCTTTCCATGTTATTTTTGTCTCTGGCATTGATAATAATAATAATAGTTTTATTTCCTGCCCGCCTCTCCTTACGGATGCTAAATATTCTATTAATGAAATAATTACCAGTAGCACATCTGCTTCATTAAATGAAGTAGTACTTCAGCTCACAAACACATTTTCAGTCTTTCCCTTACAGGGAAATTCTAAGAAATATGCTTAGCAGGGTAGAACATGATCTACTAAACTCTGCCTAATGTGTAAACTTTGCAATTATAAAAATAAAAGGTTTTCAAATAATTTATGCCACACAGCCAAGAATCCAATTCAACCAGAACTCAGAAACAATGCTTCTTCTGCAGCATTGCCACTCATGGATCTTAGTAACTTTTGTCCTAAAAAGCAATCTTTCTAAACTCTAATTTACCCTGAAACCCAAGGACCTAAAATAGACCAAAATTAGCATGTGTGTGCATGTATGTTACATACACTCAAGAGTTTTGTGTAACATATAAAAACCACAGATAATAAGAAACATTTGGGGGATCTGGCATATGTAAGAACATAACCTAAGAACTGCATCTTAGGTTAAGTAACTTAAGTACAGCCCACCTCTAGCTGTTTGAGCAGCCTATCTTTTCAAATCTCAATTTTCTTATTTTAAGAAAAGCATAAAATATTTCAAACATCAATTTTGATATAGCTAATATTTCAAAAGCAGACTAAGTCTCAAGCACCTGCATAATGCAGAATATATACCTACGATCAACCTGTACATTTAAAAAACTGTTTTTTTGAAATAAGAACAGTGTCCAAAGTAAAACCAGTTGTGGAAGTCTCTATCCCTCTGGAGATTTTTTTTTGGGGGGGGGGGGGGGGAAGACAGACAAGTCTTGCTGATGTCAATTTACATGAGTAAGGCAACATGGGTAATACTGAAAAGAAAGAATCTACCCAAGTATATAAAAAACTGGGATGCATATGAATACAAGGGAGGGTATTCAAAAGTTGATTAAACTTTATTCCAGTTGCATTTTAACTGATAAAGACTGATAAAGATGGCTGGTGAGGCTACTTCCATAAGTATATTTTCCATGATTTGGAAAAATTATCTGTTGGAAGTGTTTATGTTGTTGTTGCTTGATTTGTATGAGAATTACACTGGCTAGAGTCAAATACTTTGGTTACATATTCAAGGTGAAATTCACTTTTTTTTTTAACAAAATGAATGTTATAGGTCTGCCTGGGTACATTGTAGAAGTAGTTCCAGTCCATATAAGTTTACTAGATAAATAATGCAGAAAGGGCTCAGAATTCCTCAGTCTCCAGAAGATGTCTGATCTCCTGAGAGAGCAACAAAAGCTTTCAAATGTGACTTCAAAAAATATAAACTGTTTAAACTAATTCAGTTCTGCATCAATTCAATTCAAGAGGAAAACATAATTACCGCAAGAAAACGTCCAATAGGTCTCAGTTTTTGATCTGCACACTACAGAACCTGAATTTAAATTTGAACCCAGACAAGATAAACCTGAAAAGAACGCCATGCTTTGTGCTGAAGGAGGTCCTATGATAAATCTAAATGGAGAATTTTGACTGCATCTATCTGGCTAGAAGTCAGAATTCTTGAGTTCAGCTTCACTAACAACAATTATTACAACTATGGGGCCTCACAAAGGTAATTTTGGGGAAAGCAAACCAGGCAGAACTCAAAGAAACAATTGTTTGTTAATTTATGTTAAATAGAACTGGAAGAATCCAGAGAATAATAATAATAATACTTTATTTATACCCCGCCACCATCTCCCCAAGGGACACGGTGTGGCTTACATGAGGCCAAGCCCAAAGTACATCAGTAAACGGAAGCAATAACAAAAACAATAAATACAAAACAATTAATATAAATCACATAAACAAAAAATAAACAATAAACAATAACAGTAACACACAAGCATTTTTAAAAAATCTATGGCTTGGCCAAATGTGATAATTAAAATTTAAAAAATAATGCTGGGCATGACCAAGGTAGGATATAACTGGGATAAAATTTTTCAAAGAGAGATGAGGGAACGCAGTCAGTCCTAAATCCGTAGTAAAGTGCATTTGAGGGCATATTGCTGAGTTTTCCTTATTCTGGGAAGGCACATTGGAACAACCATGTTTTCAGGCTCCTCCTAAAGACTGCCAGAGTTGGGCCATGTCTGATGTCCTTGGGAAGTGAGTTCCAGAGTTGGGGGGCCACCACAGAGAAGGCCCTTTCCCGAGAAGACCTTGGATTATGGATACCAGCTAGAGCAGACTTAAGAATAAGTTCTTCATAGCACAGATCCCCTTTTAGGCTGTTAGCAGGTGCAGCCTTCACACAAGTCAAGCAAGGGACTTTGTAGACTTATTCAGAAGTGAAATCAATCGTCTACTGATAGAGAAGCACACCCAGGTCTCTGCAGTAGACGCAAGACACTTACTGCTACGGAATAACCTGCAACCCACTTTTATAGCTTGCATAATGGCCCTTAGAGGCTCACATGCCACAGCACAAATACCCACATTCCTGAGAACAGGCAGAGCACCAACGGGAAGGGGAAGGACCTCCTTATGCAGAGCAGTCTGAAAGCAAACCTGGTTTCCGGATCACCTGTGCCCACTGGCCTCGACATTCTTCCTAGCCTGTGGCATGAATCAAGGGAAATCGTCATAACCCAGGACAGCTACAAGGTTTGGATCACATCTAGCCAGGCCTCTTTACACACATCTAGGCGGAAATACCTTCCACAGAGAGGAACAGGGATAATGATCTTAAGAGTCGGTTAAGCTTCGGGCAGCAAGGAACCGTTCACCTGACACACCAGGAAAGTGTGCCTTAACACTGACTCCCTTTGAGCTGTAACACCTCTCTTGGGATGCATCTACACTTCAGAAGAAATTTAGTTTGACACCACTTTAACTACCATGGCTAAATGCTTGTAGTTTTACAAGGTATGTAGACTTCTCTACCAAATGTTTCTAGTGCCTTCCCAAACTACAACTCGCAGGACTCCATAGTATTGAGCTGTGGTCGTTAAAGGAATGCCCAACTGCATTTATTCTACAGTGTAGATGCTTTCAGCCAAAACACCTGACAAACAGCACCACATTTATCTGTAAAATTAATGCAGTCTAACACCATTTTAACTGCCCTGGAGAGGCAGGGCAGCTTCTCATGTGGGGACATGAGAGAAGCCTCCAACAGGATGGTAAAACATTGCAGTGTCCCCATTTTAACTGCTCTGGAGAGGAACCCCTGGTGGAGCAAAGGATTAAACCCCTGTGCTGCAGGACTGCTGACCAAAAGGTCAGCGGTTCGAATCCAAGGAGCAGGGTGAGCTCCTGTCTGTCAGCTCCAGCTTCTCATGCGGGGACATGAGAGAAACCTCCCACAGGATCCCAGCATCACCATTTTAACTGCCCTGGAGAGGAACTCCCGGTGGTGCAATGGATTAAACCCCTGTGCCGGCAGGACTGCTGACTGAAAGGTCAGCAGTTCGGATCCAAGGAGCGGGGTGAGCTCCTGTCTGTCAGCTCCAGCTTCTCATGTGGGGACATGAAAGATGCCCCCCACAGGATGGTAAAACATCCCAGCATCCCTTCGGCAACATCCTTGCACACAGCCAATTATCTCACACTAGAAGCGACTTGCAGTTTCTCAAGTTGCTCCTGGCATGAAAAAAAAACTTCCCTGGAATTCTGGGAGTTGTAGTTTGGCGAGGAAGAAGATAAGGTTGAAAGGAGACAGGATAACCATGTTCAAATATGTGAAAGAAAGAGGAGGAGGCTTGTCTAGGACTCGGAGCAATAGATTCAAATGACAGGAAAGGGGATCCCAGCTGAACATTAGGCAAACTTTGGCCCTCTGGGTGTTTTGGACTTCAACTCCCACAATTCCTAACAGCCGATAGGCTGTTAGGAATTGTGGGAGTTGAAGTCCAAAACAGACGGAGGGCCAAAGTTTGCTCATACTTGCTGTAAGAGCTGTTCAGCAGTGCAACTCTCTGCCTCAGAGTGAGGTTGGATGGCTTTTGAAATGTGGCTGGACGAGAGAGGAGTGTACAAGGCGCCCTCATCTTCTTGGGCACCTTGGTGAGTATGGACATGAAAGGATACTTCTTTGCTGGATGACCATCTGTCGGGGTTGCTTTGATCGTGCTTCTCCCACACGGCAGGGGGTTGGCTTGTGGCCATTGTGGTCTCTTAGGATTCCCTAAAGAGCTTGTAAAACTACAGCTCCCATGATTCCATAGGAGTTCAAGTGGCGTCAAACCCGCATTATTTCCTTCTACAGGGCAGAAATCTCTTTCTCCTCCGCCTCCTCTATCTATCTATCTATTCCCCGAGTGCTGACCAAGGCAAGAGCTCCCCTGAGCGCGTGCAGAGTTCCTCTGCCCCGAAGGGGTTCCTTGGCCCCTCCAGAGGGCGCGACTTTAAGGCCTGAGGTGATCCCGGCCCTCCCTCCTTCCCTCGCTCGCTCACCTTCTTGGGCGCCTTGGTGAGCGTGGACATGAAGGAGTACTTCTCCGCGTCCTCCATCTCCTTGGCTTGCTTGAGCTCGTCCCCGGAGGCCGCGTCCGGCGCCGAAGACATCCTGAAGGGGAACGGGCCCGAGAGAGGGATCCTGCGCCTCAGGTGCCTCTCCTCCTCCTCCTCCTCCCTCAGCTACCACTCAGCCTGCAACCACCGCTGCCGCGCTCCGGCAAGGGGCGGGGCCAAGCGGGGCGCGCGCGTCACCACGCACGCCTCGGGGCCCCGCCCCCTTTCCCCCTCGCGCGGAACAAGCCGGGCCCTCCCGACGTCGCACGCAAAGCTCTGTCGCGCAGCATCTTGGATGAGAGCACCTCAGCGCCATCTGGCGGCTGGTTGCAGAAGTGACGCAATGGAAGGAGCCCAGGATGAAAAAAGGACACAGCCTGCTCAACCACATTTTGTGAGGACCGGCGCAAAGAGCCAGAGCTTCTGGAGCCAATTCCATATGAATTCATGGCATAATGTGAATGAACAAAATAGAATCATAGAATCAAAGAGTTGGAAGAGACCTCATGGGCCATCCAGTCCAACCCCTGCCAAGAAGCAGGAATATTGCATTCAAATCACCCCTGACAGATGGCCATCCAGCTCTGTTTAAAAGCTTCCAAAGAAGGAGCCTCCACCACACTCCGGGGCAGAGAGTTCCACTGCTGAACAGCTCTCACAGTCAGGAAGTTCTTCCTCAAGTTCAGATAGAATCTCCTTTCTTGTAGTTTGAAGCCATTGTTTTGCATTCCTAGTCTCCAGGGAAGCAGAAAACAAGCTTGCTCCCTCCTCCCTGTGGCTTCCTCTCACATATTTATACATGGCTATCATATTCCTCTCAGCCTTCTCTTCTTCAGGCTAAACATGCCCAGCTCCTTAAGCCGCTCCTCATAGGGCTTGTTCTCCAGACCCTTGATCATTTTAGTCGCCCTCCTCTGGACACATTCCAGCTTGTCAATATCTCTCTTCAATTGTGGTGCCCAGAATTGGACACAATATTCCAGGTGTGGTCTAACCAAAGCAGAATAGAGGGGTAGCATTACTTCCCTAGATCTAGACACTATGCTCCTATTGATGCAGGCCAAAATCCCATTGGCTTTTTTTGCCGCCACATCACATTGTTGGCTCATGTTTAACTTGTTGTCCACAAGGACTCCAAGATCTTTTTCGAGCCAAATAAATTCCTTTCTAGAGAGGAAAAAAAGGACCTGGCTTTGACCCACAAAGAAAATCCAACAAATGCTACGTTCAGCAAAGGACACTTCTGCAGGAGTCTACCGTATACCATTATTTATTTATTTATTTATTTATTTATTTTATTTACTGTATTTGTATATCGCCTTTCTCAGCCAATTGCCGTCTCAAGGCGGTTTCCAACAAATCAGTATACATAAAACACATGATATAAAAAACATTAAACAGTATAAGACATCACAAAAGCAATAAAAGCAACATCATCAGCGTCTCATTATTCTCAAGCATTGTCCAATTCCATTGTCAGGTCATTCGATTTCCTATATTAGTTACTCTGTATTTGTAAACACTTGCTCGAATAGCCACGTTTTAACTTGCTTCCGAAACGTCAAGAGGGAGGGAGCAGATCGGATTTCCCTAGGGAGTGTGTTCCATAGCCGAGGGGCCACTACTGAGAAGGCCCTGTCTCTTGTCCCCGCCCAACGTGCTTTGTCCACATGCAGCTGTGGACAAGTCTACATCGGGACCACCAAAAGCAGCATCACCCAAACAAGAATCAAGGAACATGAAAGGCACTGCAGACTACTTCAGCCAGAGAAATCAGCCACAGCAGAGCACCTGATGAACCAACCTGGACACAGCATTTTATTTGAGAACACAAAAATGCTGGACCACTCTCACAACCACCATGTCAGACTACACAGAGAAGCCACTGAAATCCACAAAGCATGTGGACAATTTCAACAGAAAGGAAGAAACCATGAAAATGAACAAAATCTGGCTACCAGTATTAAAGGACTCAAAAATTACAACAGCAAAACAACAGAGGGGAAACAAACAGGCACATAAAATCACTCTCAACAAGGGATTCCCCCCGGGCACTTCCAAGCCATTGAATGCTAATCAAGGTGATCAGCTGAAACATTCACATCTAGCCCCAGCAGACAAAAGTCCTTTGTCTCACCCTGGTCATTCCACAGATATATAAACCCATTTTCCTAGTTCCAACAGACCTCACTACCTCTTAGGATGCTTGCCATAGATGCAGGCGAAAAGTCAGGAGAGGATGCTTCTAGAACATGGCCATATAGCCCCAAAAAACCTACAACAACCCAGACATGGCTTTGGATTATAAATTGTCAAATATTTCATTAATTAATTTTATTTATTTACGAAATTTATAGGCTACCCTTCTCACCCTGAAAGGGACTCCGAGCGGCTTACAAGTAATATGTAAATAATAATAATAAACTTATTATTATTATTTACATATTACTTGTAATATGTAATAATAATTATCTTAGACAGACTACAAGCAGAGTCATAACACCATTGCTCAGATGATTCACTGGAACCTGTGCCACAAATACCATCTGCCTGTGACAAAGAACTGGTGGGATCACAAGCAGGAAAAAGTTACAGAAAATTAACACATCAAACTCCTCTGGGACTTCCGAATTGAGATGGAGTTTTGAGAAAGAGTGAATACTGTAAAAACACAATCCAGAGCAGAAGAGAAAACTGGCAAAAGAAGGCTCTCCATGGACAGTTCCTGGGAAAAAGTGAGAGCCAAATTGACAAAGAAAAAACATGGCTGTGGCTCACAAATGGAACTTTGAAAAAGAAGATGGAGGGCCTGATTCTGGCAGCCCAAGAACAAGCCATTCGAACCAATGCCATCAAAGCCAGAATTGAAAAGTCGACAACAGATCCCAAATGTAGACTCAATGTAGAACAATGTAGAACAATGTAGAACAATAGATCACATCCTCACCATTGCTCAGATGATTCATTGGAACTTGTGCCACAAATACCATCTGCCTGCGACAAAGAACTGGTGGGATCAGCCGGAAAAAGTTACAGAGAATGAACACGCCAAACTCCTCTGGGACTTCCGGATTCAGACAGACAGAGTTTTGGAGCATAATACTCCTGATCTCACAATTGTGTTAAAAAAACAAAGTATGGATTGTTGATGTTGCAATCCCAGTTGACAGCAGGATTGAAGAGAAACAACGATCAAACTGCAAAGACTCTGGCACAAGCCAGTCAAAGTAGTTCCAGTGGTGATCGGCACACTGGGTGCAGTGCCTAAAGACCCTGGCCTGCACTTAAACACAATAAGTGCTGACAAAATTACCACCTGCCAGCTGCAGAAGGCCACCTTACTGGGATGTGCACACATTATTCACCAATACATCACACAGTCCTAGACACTTGGGAAGTGTCCGACGTGTGATCCAATACAACAGCCAGCAGAGTGACCTTGTCTGCTTTGGACTCATCTTGTTGTGTTTCAAATAATAATAATAAACTTTATTTATACACGCCACCATCTCCCCAAAGGGGACTCGGGGCAGCTCACATGAGGCCAAACCCAAAAATACAATACAGCAAAATAAAATACAAAACAACAAAAAATTACATCATGATAAAATACATAATGTAAAAAGATAAAATAAGCAATGCAAAGTAACATAATGGAAAGTCAAACACAATGAGCAGGCCAAATACACAAGATAAAATGATAAAACTCTGGATGAGATAGGAGTGGGGGAAAAGTGTATTTGTGAGGGAGGAGCCCAAAAAGACAATCAATGGGGGGCTCTGACTTATTACCATAGCACAATATTAGTGTATTATATCACTACAGTGTTCCCTCGCTACTTTGCAGTTCACTTTTCGCAGTCTTGCTGTTTTGCGGGTTTTTGCCTCCTGGCAATGATGGAATGTGGAAGGGGGTTTCACCCTCCCCCTCGGGAGAAAGGTAGCCAATCATAAAGAGAGAGAGGAGATACAAAGCAGTATGTAAATCACGGCCTTATAGCCCCTTCCTTATAGCTGCTTCAACTTGGTGAGATTCATTCTGGAGTTTTGGCTTCTTTTCTCACCAGGCTAAACTCACAGTGGCTTGGATCTCACTATCCATAGCCATTCTCAATTGCTCGATGACATCTTGACACCAGCCAATCCCTCTGCAATGCCAGAAATACAGCTTAACAGAGAGTGGACTGGGAGAGGTGTCCTTCTCTGTGCCAGGCCAGACCAAATGAATTTGTGGGCCTTATATGTCCCATGAGGTGGATTTTCCCCATTCCTGCATTATGCTCTGCTGAGAAATTCATGCCAAAATTGCCAAGGGCAGAAAAAACTCAAATTCAAATGCCTCAAAGGCAAAGTAGTTAGAACCCTATTATCCACTGGGATGGAAGGAGAGGCAGCAAGGAGGGAAAGGCCTAGTTCAAAAAAGCAATTTGCCTACCACTTCCTGCCTTGATACCAATTCAACCATTCACTTTCATCCCTGTGCTGAACCTGCAACCACAACAAGCCAGGCAAAAAAGTATTCACACAAATCACGGCCACGGATCCTGTGGGGTAATGCATTTTGGAAAACTGAAATCTCCTTACCCTTTTGGAGATTTTATGATCTTTGGAAAGGCATGACCTTGTTAGAAGTCATAACCATTTGAATAATGATGCCATAATCTTTTGGGAAAATGGCATTCATGCAAGGCAATTAGGTTTCTCAGCTGTTAAACTGATATCCTAAACATCTCTTTGAACGGTTAGGGACAAAGATATGCCAATGCACAAAACATATATGTATATAGCAGAGTTTCAGAAGTGGTTTTTTTTGTAGTTGCCCAGAAACTTCTACTCTTCCTTAAATATATATTTGACTTTAAATAATACTACCAAGAGACAAAATAAGCAGACTTCTTTAAAAGTAACATAGTAGACTCCAGCAATACATGTTGCAAGAGTTGCCAGATGTACAAGTTGGGTTTGGAAAAGGCAGAGGAACGAGAGACCATGCTCTCAAGAGACAAAATATGCACACTTCTTTAAAAGTAACATAGTTGGTTTACTCACAAACTTCATGTATTCAGCAAATTTTGCTTATCAATCCAGTTACAAATAGGATTTGAAGTAGTTTCTCTGTGTAGGTAACACAGGCCTAATTCTTAGAATCAACAGTCTATCATCTAAAGCATCTCTCTGTCTAGTCT